GAATGAAAGGGCAGACAGTATTGTATGAAAGGGCAGACAGTATTGTATGAAAGGGCTGACGCTCTATCCCCGAGACGACAGTGACAGTCCCTACAGACAGTATTGAATAAAAGGGCTGACGCTCTATCCCCGAGACGACAGTGGCAGTCCCTACAGACAGTATGGATTGGGAAAGAAGTGGAACAGATACTCCCACTAGTTACAATTACCCCTGCTTTGGGGAACCACGCTAACGCTGTGCATCGATTAAAGGTTTATCTTCATCGTCCGAGATGTGAATGAAGACAACAGCTGATGATTCCTGCTTTCTCTGTCTCAACGGCTGAAAGTTACAATGTCTTAGAAAGTACCTGAATTACCAGGTATGCTCATGTCAAATTTAATACTGAACATTTCTTAACCAGTTTTATTGATCTTTCAGATAGTCTTCGAAAAGTCAGAAGGGGTTCAAGAGAAACTTTCATATTAACTAGCAGGCACATATATAAGACCTCCTTCCACTATTCGAGCAGTTCACACAAGGAAGCAATTGCTCGTATCACTCATCCTTATCATGTCCATTTGGATGAACAACAAAGGCAAGTCTGTTGATTGTAATAGGCTACCGGGCAAAAGAAATTTATCACTTTTAAAGTAATTGTATAAAAAGCGAAAACACTAGTATAGGTCTGAAGCCAAGCAGAAAACATTCGCCAAAACGTAACACAACAACGCAGCTGTCCGAAAACTTCGTGCAAATCGTGCATTTTTCAAAACGTGAAAAACGTAATTGTGGAACATTGATCCAAATGCACGTGCGTGATGATTGCATAAATGATGTTGTTGACAGAGCAAGCATACAGAAAAATAACAACAACAAAAACACCACGAATATGCCAAGACTTACACTACCGCAACGAGACACGGCGATCGGTATGGCCAATAAGCGTGCTTCGCAATGTCAGCTGGCGAGAACCTTCAACTGCAGTCAGGCCACCATCAGCAAATTGGTAAACCGCTACCAGCAAACAGGTCAGACCCAAGACAGCCCAATATCGGGAAGACCAAGAGTCACGACACCGGCCGAATGCCGCTATATCCGGCAGATCCACCTTCAGAAGAGATTCGGCGGCGACAACACTAGGATACGCCATCATCAGACGAGCAGTTCTTAGACTACTTGGTATGGCTGGTATACCAGCCTACCTCTCCTTCCGTGGAAAAGCCGTGACCCGTCAACACCGTCAACGCAGACTGCAATGGAAATGAACTGTACATCGGCGGCAGAGACTTGAATGGGAGAGTGTGCTCTTTACAGACGAAAGTCGACGTAGAGAAGAGCGACTGGCGCCAAACTGCGTTCAAGAGGTTCATATGTTCGATGAAGGAGGCAGCATGGTACGAGCTGGTATTTGTGGCCAGAGAACAAGACGGTCATCATCCGAGGAAATCTGGATGCCCAGAAACACAGGGATGAAGTGTGAAGACCTTTTGTGGTACCCTTCATTCAATAAAATCCAAGAGGATGCCCAGGGTGGTCACACTCGCCGTGTCCCCTGACTCCGGACTCATTCTGTTACTCTTTATGCACTTTGTGAATGAATTTTTTTGACCCCTTGACTCTTCTTTAACGAATTGCGGCAAATTCAAGACCATTACATAGGACTTTCTCTTTGTACAGTAATTATCATAAATTTCATATACGTCTTTGTTTCTATATTTTGGTCAAGTGAAGTCACTGATAACTTTCTTTTCCACAGTAGTTATGATGGAATATTCATTTCGATAGAGGATGTGTTGACATTTCTTTAGCGCATTTAGTGAGTGAGTGAGATTAGTTTTACGCCGCACTCAGCAATATTCCAGCTGTATGGCGGCGGTCTGTAAATAATTGAGTCTGGACCAGACAATCCAGTGCTAAACAGCATGAACATCGATCTGCGCAATTGGGAACCGATGACATGTGTCAACCAAGCCAGCGAGTCTGACCACCCGATCCCGTTAGTCGCCTCTTACTACAAGCATGGGTTACTGTCGCTTCCATGTCCCAACCACTCACAATATACATACAATGTGTGTAGCGATATTCCAGCTGGCGGCGGTCTGTAAATAATCGAGCCTGGACCAGACAATCCAGTGATTAAAAGCATGAGCATCGATCTACGCAAATGGGAACCGATGACATGTGTCAACCAAGCCAGCGAGTCTGACCACGCGATCCCGTTAGTCGCCTCTTACGACAAGCATGGGTTACTGAAGGTTCATTCTAACCCGGACATTCAGGGGTATCTATAATAAAGTTGTGCACGCTTAAGCGCATTTAGTGACTTGCATGTGATATGCATACGTTCCATGCGCAAACTCTTAAGATAAGTAGTGAGGTGCATGTGACATGCTGTCGCTTCCATGTCCCAACCACTCACAATATACATACAATATGTGTAGTGATATTCCAGCTGGCGGCGGTCTGTAAATAATCGAGTCTGGACTAGACAATCCAGTGATTAACAGCATGAGCATCGATCTACGCAATTGGGATACGATGACACGTGTCAACCAAGTCAGCGAGTCTGACCACCCGATCCCGTTAGTCGCCTGCTAGACAAGCATGGGTTACTGAAGATCAATTCCAAACCGGATCTTCACGGGTCGTATTTTGAACGAACTATAGCCTACAATTATTTATAGAATAACGATAACATGGCACGAAGGGATCTGTAAACCGCTGACACCATGACAATTGTATAGCCATTCATCTGTATCTATATATCAGATATGTCTACTGGGTGGAACAACCGACGCACATGGCTCAACTGAAGAAGATTTCTTATAGTGGAGGCAAGATACGAACAATCCATTACGTTGAGACTATGGACAGTTTTACAGTCACTCTAGCCGGTAAGAAACCCTTTTTTTATACTTTTGTATAGACACAACTTGTAATATACTTTTTTTGTAGTTTCCGATGAAAGAAAGCTATTTGTTATGAACACGTTTATTATGTGTCATAGTCATTCACAATGTTATAATAATGTTATTTTAAGAGGACGGGGGCGGTGGGGTAGCCTAGTGGTTAAGGCGTTCGCGTTCATGGACATATTTCTTGTTACCCTGTTCTTTATACCTGGACATTGACACGTAACACATTTCACATTTTTCTGACGTCAGTTTCGATTTGTCATTTTTTTACGGATTTGTGTATACAACGTTTCATATTTATCCGTGAATGTGAATGCGTGTGCGTAATGTCGAAATGCGTTGCGGTACGTATGTTTGTTTTAACTGGAGTATGAAACGAGGTCTCGTCTTAGAATGAAATGTTACTAGGTGTCCTTTTCACCCAAACCGTCCCAGTTACTTTCGGAGTGCCTCGGAGCCCAAACAATTTCCCCTTGGAGTGAGTGGTGAGTTACGTTTTACGCCGCACGCAGCAATATTATGTCTATAAGGCGACGGTCTGTAAATAATCGAGTCTGGGCCAGGCAATCCAGTGAGCAACAGCATGAGCACCGATGTAAGCAATTGGGATATGGTGACATGTGTCAACCAAGCCAGAGAGCCTGACCACCCGATCCCGTTAGTCACCTCTAACCCGGATCTTCATGGGTCACTTACCTTGGAATTAGGCTCGCTGACTTGGTTGAAACGTCATGGTGTAGCAATAGCGTAGATCGATGCCTATGGTGTTGATCACTCGATTGTCTGGCCGAGACTCAATTATTTACAGAAAGCTGGACTATTGCTGAATAACAAAAGCGAAACAAAACAAACTATGCACGTATATTTACCTAGAGATATTTACTTTTTCCAGACAAATTACATGTTCACCGCATGTCGTGACCCGCTGCAGCCACAATTGAAAATATCAACTTGTCAGATGACGAGATGAGTGATGTCAGTTACAGAATAACTGATGTATGTATTGCTGAGAGAAACGGATAAAGAAACACAAGGAAATCCAAGTGTTTCTTAAATATTTTCCAGTTTTTATCACCAGCTTTGAATAGCGCTGTTGGAGGAAATCTGAGAATAAATAAAGGAACACTGCCATGAAGTGATGTTCCGTTATTTGTTTCCCTCAGTATATTTGGTGATAAAAATAGTGTCTCATTACAAAACGCATCAATGTTGTATTTCTCCAGCACCGCCATACAGCTGGAATATTGCTGAGTGCGGCGTAAAACTACACTCACTCACTCACTCACTCACTCATGCTCCAGCGTACTATCTGTACTACTGTGGACTGATGCCACGAATTGCCCTGATGCACAACTTAAACCAAGTCAAGGAAATTGAAACCGTCACGGACGACTGCATTGGTATAGCCAGTGGGAATCAAGAGAAGCATATCTTAACGTCAAGGTAAATACAGTTCGGAAACCTAGCGGGGACATAAACAGTTAAATAGGGCACGCGAGACCTTAGTACTTCCGGTGACAAACGTTTCATACCTTTCTGAATGGCCTCATGGTTGTCACGTGACAGGAAGGAACCGATAATCCTTGCAGGAAGGACAAATTTCCGATTTAACCATCCTCAAATTAGCCAACTATTACGACTGTCAACAGCTGTGACAGCCAAGCATTGTTGTGCACTTGGTCCGGTCTAGTAAAGTCATATTTGGCGGTCGCGCAATTTGGAAAAAGAACTACGCTTGTCACCTGAAATCTGGTACCGGAAGTAAGCTGGGCCCCATCTCGCATATCGCAAGATGGCGCGCACCACGTAGAAGGGATAGATGGAGGGATAAATAGATAATCATCATTGGAACTTGACTCTCGTACATATTGACTATTTGATTCCATATAAAAGTTGTGGGCTTTTCTATTTCCAGCAAATAAAATATCTTTTTGACGGGGTAGTGGCTATGGAAACTTAACCGCCATCTTAACGGATTGCAATATCAGACATTTCTGAATATAACATGAGCTGTGTCATGATGATCTGTTCACACCGCTCAGCATGCGTTGCAGGAAGTGTTTTTGGTGATCTTGTTATTGCAGGAGCCTTGTAACGGTGCCAACAAAGGGAGAAAGCTTCTCGCATCCATTTTCAATTCTGAATGGTGGTGTAAAGGTTCGTAAACGGTATATGATCTGTAGTTTTATCAATTGGTTACACTTTTTATCTCTAGTAAATGTTACTTCTCTTGATCTTAATCCGCCAGACTAAAATATCATCATTTTGTGTCTGTTGATAACGTTAAAGGCACAATGTCACACATTTTCTAAAATATTTTGGCATATATTATATATATTGGGGCATATGCACTCACTTAAGCTTCCAATTGATGCAATAAAAGAATTATTATCCCTTTCGACTTGCCTGAAATCAATAATTGAAACTTCGAGGTGAACAGTTACCTAACAGGGAACACTTGCCATATATGGAATGTAAACAATTGTTCCGTACATCGAAAACTGTCGCACGCGGTGTTGTCGGTGTTTGCCGAACTGGTTTCAATTTCAGTTTGTGCGAAGGATATTCGTAAAGAGCGCTCCAAGGGACATAACTCTATATAGGGTTCACTTGAAATGTTTGGCGGGAAGGGGGCGCGAGAGTAGAACTTTTAAATTAAATATTATAATGTAAATACGTAACCTTTTGGGGAATAAATTGTATGGTAGCTTCCTTGAGGGCTGATAGTATTATTGAGAGAAATGTATTATGTTTTTTGGAGAAGTGCGGTGAGATGTAGTGCCTTTAATTTTGTTTTTCAGTATATAAAGTAAAAGTCAAATGGCACATGGACTATTGACGAAAAATGGCTTCCTGACGGAGTCCAGAAATCACTGTTTACCATTGTGAGGCATTCTGTACATAAATATTCCGGAGAAATATGCATCCAGTATCAATGATTGCCTTCATCTCCATACATGAACAGGCAAAACGAAGAAGGCATTTTGCTGACAACGTTGAACAAGAGCGTCACGAATGCGTTACATTAATTTTGAAAGTTCAAACAATATTGTATTTTCCACGTTGAAATCTATAGAATCTGTTCTGACTTACCTGACTGTATTTAGTTGTTGTTTAACGCCCCATTTAGCATCTTGTCAACTATATGACGGTGGACAGTGTGTAATCAGGTTTGGATTAGGCAATCCAGTGATTGACACAAGCAACGATCGGCGTAATACAATGACATGCGAATCTGACCAGCCGATTCCATTGGTCGTCACTTAAAGAAAGCGTAAACCCATACTCACTAAAGATGATACAAGATGAATTCGATTTTCAATATACCTTAAAATATGTTGTAGTCGCCTTTAACACCATACTCTAGACTGCCATAATTTCAAGGACGTGAATAAACTGTACAATCAGCCCACCACTTTTTGCTTTATTTACTCGGTTACCAGGAGTTGCTATTATCAAGTTCAGCGCGTCATGTATGAGTGTAGAGGTCAATCGAGTTTCTACCATCTTAAACAGAACCAGCCTTAAGTAGTAGTAACACGAGTGAGTGAGTGAGTGCGTCATGTATGAGTGGAGAGGTCAATCGAGCTTCTACCATCTTAAACAGAACCAGCCTTAAGTAGTAGTAACACGAGTGAGTGAGTGAGTTTAGTTTTACGCTGCACTCAGCAACATTCCAGCTATATGGCGGCGGTCTGTAAATAATCGACATTGGACCAGACAATCCACTGATCAACAGCGTGAGCATCGATCTACGCAGTTGGGATACGATGACATGTGTCAATCATGTCGAAACAAAATGGGGTCGACGTAGGCTGGAGCAAGTATTTAAGCCGTACAGCAAGTGCATCTGCTTGACCACAGGGGTGATGTGACCATATGTCCATGTATCTGGATTCTAGACCAACTGAAGTCTTTGGATAACGAAGAGCAGGTTAAATGAAATGACCTGTCAATTACCTGTACCTGTTTACGATTACGTCCTGCACGTCCGTGGATGTTTACCAACATACTATACTCTCCTAGAGGCTACTAGTCCTTGTTTATTCTCCGACCCTTCGGTAATAAAGCGAATTGAAGAGGGCATTTTAACAAATAAGCTGGCTCAGAGATTTAAAATAATTATTCCTGGCTCGAACTAAGTTTTTACGTGTGGCTGCTGTTTTCGTTTGATGAAAGCATTTTAAGGTCTGGTTGTTGATGCAGTCATGCTGTGAAACCAAATCAGGTAGCTACCATTATTTTTGTTTAAAATATAGTTTTTGTCTAATTCTTGCCAATCACGTTATCAGAACAATTAAAAAAACGGTAATGCCTCTATGAATCATATTGACTACAAACTACGCTAAGTTCTCTTGCTTATGATTTCAAAATAATGATAAGATAACAACATATTGAAGTTATTGAAATCATCAAAACTCAAACGACAACACTTCAGGTCTGAGAAAACATGAAAGTTAGGCAAGCCCTCAATACTATCTAAATATAAAGCTTTGCAACCTATCGGGCTTACACGAAACATTTGACTTGCTACGCGCCTGATAACCGACCTGTGACACCAAGGTCCATTGCGAAAACGTATGAGCTTTTGAATTGCGGATCATTGCTTCAGAAATAGTCCATAGGGTATCTGCCGAAGGAAAGACAACAACGCATATAGGTCAAAGCAAATCAGCACAGGCAAAGTAAGCAGACTGAAAGCGATCACAGATGTCAGTTGTGTCGTGTAGACACTGTGGCATGTGGGAATTTCAATTCAGTGACTGTTCCAAAGGAATGGGAAACTGTGAGTGGTGTGCCGATTCATCGATACGCATCGATGCATCGATCCATGGGCCGCCGATACAGTGAATCGATACAAAGTTTTATATTGTCGTACATCCCGATACGATACTTTAAATGAGCCACGATACATTGATGTTTAACTTTGAATATTGCCGAATCACGATATCTGTCAAGAAAAAAGCCTTACTTTTGTTTGATGATTAAATAGATGCTTACTTATTTTCCCTTCATAAGTAAACGTTTTCTCAGAAATGTCATGCGTCAAGAACTGTGTCAGACATAGCGTTCGGATATTATTAACATTCACAAAGTCCGTGTATAAACTTAATTATCTCGTTTCCGAATGAACATTAAACAACGCTGGCAGAATTTGACGAATACTATCAAATGGTTTTGTTTTGATCTTAAGGTGTTTTATAGTTGGTGTTAGAATTAAAGATTTTAGTATCGTGATACGTATCGTATCGCCACCCTTGTATCGGGATTCGTATCGTATCGCAGCTTCAGTGCACAATACTTTGGCAATATATCGTCGTGACTAAAATTTTAGTATCGTGATGTATCGTATCGCAGGTTGTATGCCAATACCAGCACTAGAAACTGTCAAGCAGTTACACCTTTGCGTCCGTTGTTTTGCTTTCAATCACCTCTGCAAAACAGACCCGTGAAGATGATGACTAACCAGCCCCAACTGTGACGGTTCATCTCCATTATTGTACGTGTGTGTACTTGCATCGTCAAACAAAGCATTTCCAAATAATGTTTTGGCCTTTTGTATTACTGCTGAAATAATATATACTCAAGATATAGTCACAATTGTACAATCGACTCTGGTTTTAGCACACATCTCTTATGAATGTGGAAAGAGTTTTGTCGCTTTTACTTCTAATAACAACAGGTATAGTCCGAAGTGAAAGCAGTGTAGATTTATCAGATTTGGGGGACAACATGGTTGTGACCTTTGGAACTTGACCTTCATTATTTGTAATCGTTACAGATTTCTTAACAGGTTGTCACCGTTGCCATTAGCTTTGCCAAGTATGGTCCTTCTCTTTGAATGAAGTAACTTATTATGCAAACAAGAACAGTTATCAATATCACACTATATTAACGACGTGGCTCCAGGTTTTTGCACAGTGGGTGAGTGAGAGTTTAGTTTTACGCCGCACGCAGCAGTATTCCAGCTATATGGTGGTAGTCTGTAAATAATCGAGTCTGGAACAGGCAATCCAGTGATCAACCGCATGAACATCGATATACGCAACTGGGATACGATGACATGTGTCAACCAAGTTAGAGAGCCTGACCACCTGATCCCGTTAGTCGCCTCTTACGTAAGCATGGGTTACTGAAGATCAATTCTAACCCGGATCTTCACGGGTCCCCCACGACAGTGTTACTGACTGGTTGATGATGGCTGTTTCACATGTTCTTGAAATTAGTATTTTGTTTTTATTTTGCTTGTTTGATGTTTAACTATATGGAAGCGGTCTGTAAATAATCGACCAGACAATCCAGTGATCAACATCATGAGCATCGATCTACGCCGCATATCTGACAATACAGATTGAACAACAATGGTTGTGAGGCTGCCTTACAATGGTTTTCAATATGGCTTCTGAAGGGTCCAATCGGGAATGGAAGAAGCTGAGGCGTCATGACTAGTTAGATTAAGCTGTGGTCGTTTCAGCTTGGAACACTGGTCCCGATGTTTCTGAGACCATGGTACGAGTGCGACGACATGCATTCTGAAAAAAATAGAGAATGGTAAAATTGACGTCGGAATAGCACAATCGATTATCGGAAAAGGAGTTCGTCTCTTTTGCAGTGAGTCGATGACATTCAACTTGATAGTGTACAGGGACCCCGTTGCATAGACTGACTGACTGACTGAGTTTGGTTTTACGCCGCTTTTAGCAATATTCCAGCAACATCACGGCGGGGGACACCAGAAATGGGCTTCACACATTGTACCCATGTGGGGATTCGAACCCGGGTCTTCGGCGTGACGAGCCAACGCTTTTAACCACTAGGCTACCCCACCGCCCCCCCTTTGCATAGAGAACTACAAGCAAAGTGTAATGTGTTCATGAAAACAACGATGATTGCTATTCAGACTTTAACAGGGTATCGCACACGACTGTTTAATCAATGTTTGAAAACATTAAGTGTACTTTGTCTTCCGTCAATACACTTTATTAATTATTCAGAGGTTGTAAATATTGAACACTTAATGATTTCTACTTTCATAATTTTTAAAAATTATTTCTAGTCAATAGTAAGTTTGGGTTGAGGGTTCCGTTACCAATGACATTTTCATCATCATAGATCGGGCCTCGGTCGACTAGGTTAACAGCACGTTTGAGAGCCGAGATGGTCATCGTACAAAGAAGGCGGAATTAATTTACAGCAAATTGAACATTAATCGGCTGAAAACGGTTCACAATCAATGTTATCGTTCACGTTTCGTAAACTTTATCATTATTGTGTGACAATAAACAAGAAATGTCACTTCCATTTTCCATTCATTAAACATTTAAGGTAAGGTATTTTTGTCTGTTTCACATCTCCTACCTCAAGCAGCTAGATTGCGAAAGATAATAAGAATGGGGTTTTTCAACCTGGGTTTGAACAACGAGCGAAATTGTTGCTATAGGGCAGTATATTTAAGAAAGATTTTTTTTCTTTCTTTCTTTCTTTCTTTTTTTATTATGATTATTTTTATTTTTTATTTTTTATTTGTTTTAGGGGGTGCGTTTTTTTCTTAGAAACGTTGTTGCTTTCAGAAGTTTGGAAGTACAGTAATGTCAAATCTTCTGTCTAACAACTTCTCATAATTGGTGAATGCATACTTATACAGATCGTGAACGCCAGAAAATATTCAGTTGCTCTCATCTGAATACAGAAACAGATTCCAGCGGGTGTATATGAGTGAGTGAGTATGGTTTTACGCCGCTTTTAGCAATATTCCAGCAATTTCTCTTCGGGGGGACACATGAAATGGGCTTCACACAATGTACCCATGTGGGGAATCTAACCCGGGTCTTCGGCGTGACGAGCGAACGCTTTAACCACTAGGCTACCCCACCGCCCCGGGTGTATATGACAACATTGTGGGACACGTATATGATCACAGAAACCAATAGAAAACCAATGTTAACACCAATGTTCGTTAAGGAGACACGTGTCCTTATCTACCGATAGTTTGGCTGGCCTAGCCTCGAATATATTACAACCTGCTTATTACAGCTGGAATATGAATACTCGCATAAGACAATATTCGAATCAAGATGGGGCGGTGGGGTAGCCTAGTGGTTAAAGCTTTCGCCCGTCACGCCGAAGACCTGGGTTCGATTCCCCACATGGGCACAATGTGTGAAGCGTATTTGTGGCGTCCCTCGTATTGATATTGCTGGAATATTGCTAAAAGGTGGCCTGAAACTAAACTCACTCACTCACTCACTCCCCTTAGGTCACTATGCGTAACCAGATTGAGTGCGTGCCGTACTCATAGGGGGCGGTGGGGTAGTCTAGTGGTTAAAGCGGTCGCTCGTCACGCCAAAGACCCTGGTTCTGTGTGAAGCCCATTTCTGGTGATATTGCTTGAACATTGCTAAAAGCGGTGTAAAATCATAGTATTACTCACTCACTCACTCACTCACTCACTACGTACCCAGTAGACAGGTGCTTTCACCAGCCAATGAACCTGGTCCACATTCGAGTATTTACAGGTACTGACATTGATCTGCATTGATTCTGTTAATTACAATGAGAGAATGTCAAACCCAGCCACATTTAGCAAGCTATTATGGACGTGTATAACAATGGCAAATGAATGATGAGATGGATTTGTAGCCTTGAACAGTATACATGTAGGGTACTTTATCGGCATCTCAATTTAAAATGGCAGGAAGGTGTCGCTTGATCTTGTTTCTGTATTCATATCTGACTTTGATGGAAATGTTTCGTAACTCCTTATCATAACACTTCAGGATTATATATGTCATAGTTGGGGGCCTGTCAACTTGTTACCCATCTACCACATCTCTTACAATTCCCCCGGAAGGACCCGGAGGTAAAATTGATCCTCGACAGTCTATAGTGGCAATAAAAGGGTTTTAATGGGTTTGATTGTTGATTGCTCACATGGCATGGATCTTGAGCTCGACTATCGTCGTCATAAAGGTGGACTATTGATTGCTTGTAGTAATATCACAACTTTGTTGAACGCGAGCCCCAGGCGATGGAGGTCTCAAACGTTAACCACGTCGGTGAAAACTCCAAGAACGAAAACCCGTGAAGATCCGGGGCTAGAATTGTGAATTTCTAACCCGGATCGTCTTCGGCAACCCATGCTTGTCGTAAGAAGCACTTACGGGATCGGGTGGTCAGGCTCGCTGACTTGGTGGACACAGGTCATCGTTTCCCAGCTGCGTAGATCGATGTTCATGCTGTTGATCACTGGATTGTCTGGTTCAGACTCGATTATTTACGCTGAGCACTATGTTAAACTTCAAACCAACTGTTAGGTTGTAGTTTGGAAAGTGTTATATTGCCAGGCTCACGAAATCTCGTCGGCGAGATTTTATATTCAACATGGCGGTCTCCATAGTAACTAACAACTACACAAGAACGGGCAATCGGGAGCCAAGCCCCATCATAGGATTCTGGCGCGCCTAAGGGACGCAAATCTGCTTCACTACATGCATACCATGCATGAAATACTCACCTGCAGCAATCTGTGATGCAGTAGCATCAGCCATGGAGATATCCGTCTTGTGCTCCTCTTGTAGTGAGGAGAAGCAGAGCCGAAGATGCGCCCCAGAACACAAGACAACAGGATACCAATAGACAAAACAATCTGCTGCCCCTTGACCATAATGACCGGTCAAGATGGTTTCGTCAGTATTTCAGAATAGTCAGGGGTTAAGATTTATTTTTGGAGCCAACGAAACGTACACTGGCCTGTGGTTTTAATAAAAATGTGTGTGATACAAGGCTCCTTAAACAGTACAATTTGTCTTGACAAACAGATATAGAACGGTGTATCTTTTTTGTAAATCATCTCATGTTAAGTGATCGAACTTCTTATATTCGAATATGGCACTTAGCATGCGATAAAAGCAAGTACTATTAGACATCGACTTACACTAAACGGAGAGTACTCTGCGGAAATACTATACGGTGAGGCTGGTTGTTTTAAACATGCAGAGTATCCAAGATACAGGTCATGGGATCTTCTTTCATCTCACTGAAGCTTTTCTAAAGTATGTACATTTTTATTTATATATATAATGGGTTCGTCGAGGTTGTATCATTTGAGTGAGATAAACGATGGACGAGTGATCGATAGTGTAGATGTGTTTCTACTTGGACGTCCTTGAGACTTGAGTGTCTTTTGTCAATTTTAACATAACATAACAGTCCATTTGTATAGCGCTAGTTTTATGCTCAATGCATGCTCAAAGCGCACAGCTGAGAGAAGACTCAGGGAAGAAAAGCTTGTCTGAAAACATGGGTTTTAAGGCTTGTTTTGTAAATTGGTAGAGTTCCTGACAAACGGATCAACTGAGGAAGAGAATTCCAACATGAGGCGGCGTCAAATGAGCGTTGACCATATGTTGTCTGACTGACTGAGTATGGTTTTACGGCGCTTTTGGCAATATTCCAGCAATACCACGGGGGAACACCAGAAATGGGCTTCACACATTGTACCCATGTGGGGATTCGAACAGGTGCCTTCGTCGTGACGAGCGAACCCTTTAACCACTAGCGCTACCCTACCGCCTCCAGCCTCCACACAGAGCAACACTCCTCATAACCAGTGTGCGAAATAGTTTCCAAAATTTGCTAGCCAGTCGGGCTAACTATGCCGGAATGTTACTAGCCCACAAGCTAATTCACTAGCCCGAAATTTGAATGTAGACACGAGTTTCATCAAAGCTGCTAATATGATGAACATTTGTATCATGCCATAATCTTGCATGACTTACAAGTGTTTTGTAACTTAACAAATGGCAGTGACTGTGGAGATTTACTGGCCCGACTATATTTTTACTAGCCACGGGCTAGCGGGCCAGTGGCTATTTCTCACACTGCCCATTACCACTGTCTCAGTGTATAGAGCCTGCCAGAGTTTGTTTCACAATGCGATCGTAGCTTACTCCACTGCTAACACATAGACTTATGATAGTCGTATACAGCTGCGGTCACTTTGTTAAAATTATTTGTTTGTTTGTTGTTTAACGCCGCACTCAGCAATATTCCAGCTCTCTGGCGGCAGTCTGTAAATAATCGAGTCTGGACCAGCCAATCCAGTGATCAGCAGCATGAGCATCGATCCCATTTATAAAACTGTAATGAAACCTTAAAACCATATTGGTTGTATTGTTCTCCATTAAATATATATTATCCGCATCGTGTGTAATACACACGAAGATTGGAAAGTTGGTGCTTACATCTAAGGTAAAATTCCAATTTAAATCAACTTTGATGCCCGAGAAGTGACCATAACTTAGGTTTTGATATAACTGCATTGCACCGGCAGGATCTAGTCTGAGCTAAATTGTTCAACTGGCCACGCACATTGATAATGAACAGTTTGTATCATAAACAATAGCCGACATATATGAGCTTATCAACCCTACATTTGTAACACAGATATAGCAACTACACACCTTGAAAACACGTAAAAGCTGTGATAAGATTATGAAGTGTATAAAGGAGTTTCACAAAGGACCTAGTTCTAGTACCAACAGCTTGGCACCATGGCGAGAATAGCAATTGCACTTGTGTTAATGATGTCATCAATGGCAAGTTCTTTATCGACAGAAAACATATTGGTGAAGACGAACAAGGTCATGCAAGAAATTGATGATATGTTTGTCGGGTTCACGTTGGACACGTACTTACTTCGGGTTGGATGGGGAAAATTCAACTTCAGGTAAGCGTTAATCGGGAAGACAGAGTGACGTCCCCTGTCCTCTTGCAAGACGTGTTGGTCGACGGTTTGTCTATAAGGACAACGGTCGGTCTCACAATGCTGGACTCGTCAATACAAACCTCCTTGAGCCAGCACTCAGTCCAGACCTTCCCCATCGAAAATGGAATATGAGTGAGTTAAAATTTTACGTCACAAGGTCAACATTTCAGCAATATCGTGACGAGAATTTGAATATAAATACTGAATATCGTATGATTTAGAAGCCTGTCATCGATGGACTGTGTAAAAAATAGAATATTACAGATACAATTTAAAACTAGTTGATAGCAATTAAAAGAAAACATGGGATATGATGGGTGGACGTGCGTTAACGTCATGGCCGCCGACAACGTTGGCTCAGCTGCAGAGGAGTGTACACGGTCCTCAAACCACCAATCGACGCCTCATACTTTGCATGGCTCGTCAAGTGACTAAATGTCTCACAAATCGGAGCGGTATTATTAAAACCTTACCCCTGTGGTCGGTCATCTACAATCATACTTCATCACGTCACTGACTTATCTATTTGCTCATCATGAGCATACAACTATTACTAGAAACTATTACTTCCTCCATCTTTGTAATTTTCCCAGTATATCCACTGGCGTGGTATTCCTCCCACATGAGGTACTCCGTGCTGCACGGTACTGTTGTAATATAATGTGTAATACCATTTTAAGCAGAGTTAAAAATAACGCCAATTGCTCATCAGCTCCCTCAAAGCCTTGAACCTGATGAAAGCTATGTTTCCCTGTTATATCCTTATTGTTCAACAGTTCCCCGAAAGCCTTGAACCTGATGAAAGAAATGGTTCCCTGTTATATCCTTATCGTTCATCACCTCCCCGAAAGCCTTGAACCTGATGAAAGCTATGTCTCCCTGTTATATCCTTATCGTTCATCAGCTCCCCGAAAGCCTTGAACCTGATGAAAGAAATGTTTCCCTGTTATATCCTTATCGTTCATCACCTCCCCGAAAGCCTTGAACCTGATGAAAGAAATGTATCCCTGTTATATCCTTATCGTTCACCAGCTCCCCGAGAGCCTTGAACCTGATGAAAGAAATGTATCCCTGTTATATCCTTATCGTTCATCAGCTCCCCGAAAGCCTTGAACCTGATGAAAGAAATGTATCCCTGTTATATCCTTACCGTTCATCACCTCCCCGAAAGCCTTGAACCTGATGAAAGAAATGTCTCCCTGTTATATCCTTACCGTTCATCAGCTCACCCAAAGCCTTGAACCTGATGAAAGAAATGTCTCCCTGTTATATCCTTACCGTTTATCAGCTCCCCGAAAGTCTTGAACCTGATGAAAGAAATGTCTCCCTGTTATATCCTTACCGTTCATCAGCTCCCCGAAAGCCTGGAACCTGATGAAAGAAATGTCTCCCTGTTATATCCTTACCGTTCATCAGCTCCCCGAAAGCCTTGAACCTGATGAAAGAAATGGTTCCCTGTTATATCCTTATTGTTCATCAGCTCCCCGAAAGCCTTGAACCTGATGAAAGAAATGTTTCCCTGTTATATCCTTATCGTTCATCACCTCCCCGAAAGCCTTGAACCTGATGAAAGAAATGTATCCCTGTTATATCCTTATCGTTCACCAGCTCCCCGAGAGCCTTGAACCTGATGAAAGAAATGTATCCCTGTTATATCCTTATCGTTCATCACCTCCCCGAAAGCCTTGAACCTGATGAAAGAAATGTATCCCTGTTATATCCTTACCGTTCATCAGCTCACCCAAAGCCTTGAACCTGATGAAAGAAATGTCTCCCTGTTATATCCTTACCGTTTATCAGCTCCCCGAAAGCCTTGAACCTGATGAAAGCTATGTCTCCCTGTTATATCCTTACCGTTCATCAGCTCCCCGAAAGTCTTGAACCTGATGAAAGAAATGTCTCCCTGTTATATCCTTACCGTTCATCAGCTCCCCGAAAGTCTTGAACCTGATGAAAGAAATGTCTCCCTGTTATATCCTTACCGTTCATCAGCTCCCCGAAAGCCTGGAACCTGGTGAAAGAAATGTCTCCCTGTTATATCCTTACCGTTCATCAGCTCCCCGAAAGTCTTGAACCTGATGAAAGAAATGTCTCCCTGTTATATCCTTACCGTTCATCACCTCCCCGAAAGCCTGGAACCTGATGAAAGAAATGTCTCCCTGTTATATCCTTACCGTTCATCAGCTCCCCGAAAGTCTTGAACCTGGTGAAAGAAATGGCTCCCTGTTATATCCTTACCGTTCATTAGCTCCCCGAAAGGCTTGAACCTGATGAAAGAAATGGCTCCCTGTTATATCCTTATTGTTCAACAGCTCCCCGAAAGCCTTGAACCTGATGAAAGAAATGTCTCCCTGTTATATCCTTATTGTTCAACAGCTCCCCGAAAGTCTTGAACCTGATGAAAGAAATGGCTCCCTGTTAATCCTTATCGTTCATTAGCTCCCCGAAAGCCTTGAACCTGATGAAAGAAATGGCTCCCTGTTATATTCGAGTTGGGGGATCACTAGCAGAGAGCCTAGTGTTTGACCCTCATGCCGGTCCAGTAACGCACGTGCCTCCCCTTGGACAACCATTTACACTTACACGTAAGTTCATTTAACTTCACAACCTTTGCACTCAAATGCTTTGATTGCATTTATTTTTCTCTGTATGTTTGTTCCTTTAAACCACATTCGGAAATACCGCAGGTATGTTTAAAGTGTTCGCTCGTCACACCGAAGGGCCCGGTTCGATTCCCCACTAGGCTACCCCAAAGTCTCCTTATACGTACAGAGACAAGGCTTAGAAACATGTTCGCTTTGCAACACATTTGGTATATCTGCTCATGTGTCGCGGAGTGTAGCATTAATATGAAAACAAAACTGTGATGTAGCTGGAATATTGCTAAAAGCGGCGTAAAACCCAACTCACTCACTCACTCACCGTAAGTAGCAAATAGTGTTACAAATATCTGCAGTTTTCCACCATTTGTGACTCTCGGAGAGCGGAGGTCGCGGGTTCGATCCTCGGCCGCGTCATATCAAAAGACGTTAAAATATGGTACTTGTTGGTCCCTGACTGGCGCTCAGCATTAATGGGTACAACAAGGACTGGTCGGCTCGGAGTCAGTATTATGTGTCTGAGTGGGGTATTCAGGCTTAACTGCGGCATTTTATCTCAGTGAGCTAGCTCTATAAACCCAGCTTAAGTCTGGGCTACTACAAACAACCACACATACACACGCAAGCACGTCGTCATAAGAGCGAAGAAAATCTTAAGTACGACGTTATACCTTATTTCACCTCACCTCACCTCACCTCACCTCACCCATTTGTGACTATTTATAGCTACGCGGTGGAAAGAGCTCAACGAATTTATACAGAATGCTGGACTGAAGTTGATATTTGCCTTCAATGCCCTTCTACGGAACAATAACCTGTAGGATCCTACGAATGCCGAGCTGCTGATGACCTACTCGTCTCAGAAGCATTACGACATCGCCGGCTGGGAGCTTGGAAATGGTGGGAACTCATATATACATAAGCTGTTCAAGTAAATTCGGTATTCACCTACTTGCATTATGGTAATGTGTTCATCTGTTGCTTAAACCCGAAGTCCTGTAAAAAAGTCAGGCAAACACGTGATTAATATTATGAGCACAACCTTTGGATGTTTACGATGACACACAATACCGTCATCGAATCTGACGACCAGATTAATTGAATCACCTCGAAACCTGACATTCTAGAGACTTGAAAGTAATTGGATGAGTCCAATTGAGAGATACACACACTATATCAAATGATTTGACGATGACATAAAGTGACTTGAATTATGTTAAAAAAGTTAAAAAAGAGACAGTGGGTGAACTCTTCAAATAGGACTACGCTTATAATCTTGTGAGAAGAAAGCGTTCTTCACACAAGTGCTGACCCGTGAAGGTCCCGCTTAGAATTGATCTTCAGTAACCCAGGCTTGTGGTAAGAGGCGACTAACGGTATCGGGTGGTCAGGCTCGCTGACTTCGTTGATACATGTCATCGTTTCCAAATTGCGTAGATCGATGCTCATGCTGTTGGATTGTTTTGTCGAGACTCGAATATTTACAGACCGCCGCCATATAGCTGGAATATTTCTGAGTGCGGCGTAAAACTAAATCCACTCCACTCCACTCCACTCCACTCCACTCACACAACTGACTGTTTATGACATGTTAGAAAGTATAATATACCCAATTCCCATATATTTCTAAACTTTGACAATGACCAAAAATGCTGCTAAAGAAATGAACCCTTACATTGCTCTAAGCTTCGAATTATGTACAACTCAAAATAATTACTCTTCGGTCCCACCCCCAATAAAAGCCTCAATCATTATTCCCATGATTATGGAATACTGTAAGGGACATTAATATTGTCGCGATCTCGTGTCTCGCTCTTTTGGCATTTTCAGCTTGTTTCCAAAGGTCGAGATTGCGAGAATGCGAGATCGCGAGATCGCGAGAATGTCCCTTAAAGTATTCCATACATAATTCCCATCACAGAGCTTTATACTTACAGGTTTTATCACAATCTATCGTTCTTTTCCTGCACTCGTCCTTCTACAGAACCGGACCTGTATGTACGGAATGGACGGATAAATGTCACGGGGGCAATGATGGGCGCTGATTTCACGGAACTCCGACAGATTCTGGACAAATCCCCTTATAAATCCTTATTGGTCTCCTTATTGGTCCAGACATGACCCCCCTTGGCGGATACCGGGACCCAATGATGCGAGAGTAGGTAGAATGCACGAGACATGGTTGTGTTGGAATAAATCATATTTGTAATGGTGCTGATGGGTCTCACCAAATGGGATGACGTCCAAGAACAGCATCACTTCGTGCTTATCTCTCGCAATGATGCTGAAAAGCCTTGACATACCTGGGATACTGCTCCAGGCAGCGTTAAAACTACCTCACTCACTAACTCTCTTTTTGTAGATGGCGGTATAGTAGCGCTACTATATACATAGAACGTTTCCAATTGGACACGAGTTTAGGTCAGTCATTGCAGATGAGAATTTGTTCTTTCTGTCGTGTCATGGGCCTCTGAAATTGGTTAAAAGCTAAGATTGGTCTGTTAACATCTTACCGGTATGCGTGAATATCCTTAAAGGGGAAGGTGTGTTGCTTTGATGCAAAGGGTAATCTTGTTGCTTTAGTTGACAAGGGAAGGCCTGATGCTTTGGGGTTCCATATTTCATGATAACAATATAAGCTGTTGTACAGGTTCCTCAGCCATGGTGGAGCTTCAGCTGTTGATGTCCTCACAATTCATCAGTACGTTTTCCCGTTATTTCAAAAACTCTAAATTTCGAATTTTTATATACTGTCCTCCCCACTTAAAGACAGAGCTAATGCTGTACCATGTTTGTCCATCGGAGTTCGTAAACATCATCCCCCCGAATACCTGTTCCTGTGAAGCCACCCATGCTCTTCCAACAATCCAAATTTGATCAAGCAGCCATATTTGAAAACCTGCTTGTTCAATAGTCTGACTCAAATTTTACCTTACGCTGTTACCAGCATTTTACATTTCCTCTCATGTGCAAATTTGACACATTTTGTTAAATTGTTATGATTTCAGTGTATTTTAGCAAGTTTATTGGCCGTGGTATTTATGCAGAAAATACTCGAATTGTAATTTGAAAGCAATCAACATTTGTAGCATACATTTAGCTGTTCTTGCTGAAATGTAAACGACAGTATTACCATGAGCTGCAAGTGCCGCTGTATTTTTTTAAAAGAATTTCTTAAACATGAAAACATCATTTATCATCTATGGATAGTGTCAGCATCTGTTTGTCAACAGCTACTATTTCAACGGCCATACTGCCCATGAGGGGACTTCCTGTCCCTGTGGTGGCTCAATAAGCTGGCTTCCAGAATGATCCACGATGTAGATCTCATCAACGACTATCACCCAGTCAGACCTCTGTGGCTGGGGAGACATCCACCGCATGGTCAGGAGGAGCCCTGCATCTCTCGGATGCTTATGCAGCTGGGTTTTGTGAGGATATTTGTTTCTTTGTTTATTTGTTGTCCAAAGCCGCACTTAGCATTGTGCAATGTATGACGGTGGTCTGTGAATAGCCTGGACCAAGGAGTCGAGTGATTGGCATCTTAAGGATTGAATTGCTGGGATACGATGACATGTGTCAACCAAGTCAACCACCCGATTTTATTAGTCTCCTCTTTTAGCATACATATCGCAACTATGAGTTGAGGACCAATTCTTCATGAGACTTTTTCGGAAAATATACTATTAGCGTTGACGTTCCTTGTGACAGTATATGAGGGGTGTCCCAAAAGTAGTCGGCCTTACCTAGAAAATTATTCAAATGCAGCTGTTTTTTTATGTTTTATCTGTTTTATTATCTGTCAACCTCAAGCAAATTGCTTTTGTCATGTTCCAGCCTCACGATCCCCATTTCGTTTGACTCTTTATCTTGGTACCCCCCAAAAAACGTGAAATCTGCAATAAATGCATCACAAACTTCATGTTAAAGTGGCTTCCCCCCCAACCCCCACGATGTTTACTGAAAGAACTTGTTTTGGAGACACTACCAAGCTCTTTCAGATGACGTAATCATAAGGATATAATATATTATTCTAATGCTTACACTTATTCTTACATGATGCCTAGGGTTTAAACTAAATACTAAATGGTCACACAAATGTCAGCACTCAATATATTGTAAACAGTGCGTGCCTGCTTGAACATCTGTTCACAATGTTTTAGAAAGATTAAAATGAGGGTGTCCTTTAAACACAACCCCGTCTAAATATAAATCAAGCAATCAAAATTATTGACTATTGATCATGACGGGAAGTCCAATACTATACTGAACATATTGCATATGATATTTTCTGAGGGCATACCATTTTCCAAGAGGTAGAAAATGACAGATCGTTTTTCACTTTCTGCAATTTTTAAAGAAATGTTATACCCCAATTTGTTGTGATGACTATTATCTCGTCAACCACATTACCCACATATGTGAAATTTTGGATATGGCTTTGCCAAAGATTCATTCAAAATAAAATGGAAGCTTTTCTAACATTGGACATCGAGAATATATTAGTTATGCCAACTACTTTTCGGACGCCCCTCGTACGTTGTGAATCTTTTACATGTCTTCTGAATGCCATGACGTCTTTGATCAAAACTACCTCCGAGTAGTGTTATGTCATGTTACGGTTTCTGTTTTGCCAAGATCGTAATTTCCGAAGGAATTGGTAAAGAGAGAAATTAAGTCGTGTTGGTTTAGGAAGCTTGCATCTTGATGTCTCAGGAATTCACCTCAACCTCGTAGTGAGATCTCATCTGATCTTCACACAGATTTGTACTCAATCGGTGTGAAAAAAACCCCTAATTTTAATGACTATGAGTCGTTGAACTGAATCACTAGAGACGAAGTGAGCACTGATGAAAATTTAATGATGAAATCAATTCAACAAAAGTTTGGTAATGCCGCAGTTTTATTTTCTTTGAAGATGGTTGGACAAGCTTGGCGTCTGTGCCAGGTATGGTATCAAAGGCGTCTTGAGACAGTCTCTCTATGGCGGCAACTATGGAGTACTGGAGTCCAGTATGGACCCAAACCCTGTAAGTATGATTTGTGAACGCTACAGTCAAAATTATTCCAGCCTCGAGTCTGGACCAGACAAACCAAAGTACCAAGTTCAGAGCCGGCGTTGGTTCAATAGCAAATGTTGCCAGTCACCAATCGGCTTACTATGTTCGCCTTGTACAAGAAGAGGTGATCATGAGGTGAGGAGAAATGGGATTTAACGTTGTACTTAAGATTATTTCGCTCATATGACGACGTACTTGCGTGTGTATGTGTGGCTGCTTGTACTAGCCAAGACTTAAGCTGGTTTTATAGTGCTAGCCCACTGAGATACGATGCCGCAGTTAAGCATGAATACCCCACTCAGACACAAACTGACTCCGAGCCGACCAGTCCTTGTTGTACCCATTAACGCCGAGCACCAGTCAGGGACCAACAAGTACCATATCTTAACGTGTTTTGGAATGACGCGGGGATCGAAACGCGACCCTCTGCTCTCCGGGCGGACGCTGTAACCACTACACCACGGTGGCGGTTGTTCATCAAGAAAAGGTTGTTATGCAGTGTATGTCGTGAAGTGACAGATGTGGCTCCAGTATCGGTTCATACGAATCGGCAGGTCTGATTGATCTGTTTCTTTGACATCACGACTAACATGCCTTTGCATGTGTTTGTGACATTGTTGACAGGTGGCTCTGATAGGACCGGATACGCTTATCTTTTCACGACCATCTGGTCTCATTACTATATAAATAGCGACCCATAACATCTGGTCTTGATCTGAATCATACAATCCACTCCACAGTTGGAAGAGATTTCTGATGCATAGGAAAAGATTTTATCGCTGTAATCTGGTACATGTGGACCGAGTCCATGCCTCACCTGTATGGAATACCAGAAGGGACATTGTGGCGTTGTCGCAAAATCAACCAAAGTGCGACAATGCAACAAAGCGTCGTTTTGGCCATTTGTCGGACTGTCGCAATGTCGCGCTTTGAATTACACATTTTTTATTCATCAAAAGGGCGACAATGCGACATAATCACAATTTCCAAGGACAAAATATGTCGCCTTGACGCCCTTTGGTTAATATTGCCACTTTTTGCTTGTTTTTGTGAGGGAGACAACGTGACAATGCAACAACATTCCATAAGCCTGAATATGTAAATTGAGCCATGAGCATTATTCCTGTTTATTAAGGATTACTGGTTGACCCTGCTCTACAAGCGTCTGGTTGGAAATAAAGTGTTCGATGTCACATCTCCTTCCAAGTTTGTCCGGGTGTACGCTCACTGCACTAAGATTAAAAAGTAGGTGGGCATTTAATAAATCCATACATCCTCGGTGTATACTGTCTCACGAATCATCAATATGTTTTTATACTGTCAGTCGATATGACATTAATTTTGAACCCATTCACTCTATGGTGTTATTTTGTGTCAGAGAATTCCATTTACAATTGAACCACGAAAACATTAAATTCTGCAGCAAAAACATAATTGCAAATATGTACAGTGATAAACATCAAAAGGCCTGAATGCATGAAACCATTTAGTATTATCTTTGAAAGGCAGGGGCGATGGGGTAGCCTAGCGTTTAAAGCGTTCGCTCGGCACGCCGAAGGCCCGGGTTCGATTCCCACATGAGTACAATGTGTGAAGCCAATTTGTGGTGTCCCCGCTGTGATATTGCTGGAATATTGCTAATGGCGGCGTAAAACCTAACCCGCACACTCTTTAAAAGGTAACATATTTTTAGACCCACAGCAATTTTGTTCTGGACATCCATTGAAGAATATCGATTTTTTTTTAGAATTTCGATATTTCAGGATGTAATTTTGTTTCGGTCTGTTGTTCTGTCTAGAAGGTGACATTGTCTTAAAGAGCATATGGAGTTAATAGAGTTCGACTTGAAGATTTGTTCCACCCCTAGCATGTACCACTACAACCCCGGAAGCGTCACTGTATATGCGATGAACGTTAACAACGACTCTGCTGTCCTGAGATTCCCTCACATGCTGGGTCAAGGTCATCTGGATGTCTTCTGGCTCACCCCCCAACATGGCAGCCTTAGGGCAAAGTAAGTGGTGTCACGGCTGAAGCCAATTTCTGACCGTTTGCTCTTTCTTATTATATGTTAATCGAGCCATTGCCAGACAACCGTTCTACTTATCCGTGAAGATCCAGGTTGATACTGATCTTCAACAACCCGTGCTTGTCGTAAGAGGCGACTAACGGGATCGGGTGGTCAGGCTCACTGACTTGGTTGACGCGTCATAGTATCCCAATGGATCCGTGCTTATGCTGTTGGTCATTGGACGTTTTAGTCCAGACACTATTATTTAAAGGTCGTTGCATTATATCTAGAATATAACTGAATGTGGCGTTAAATATAAACAACAAAACCAAACCATATTTGTCACGTGACAGTGGAGAGAAAGGAGAGAAGAGTGCGGTTGCCATTACATGTAAGTTCGGGCGGTGGGGTAACATAGTGGTTAAAGCGTTCGCTCGTCACGCCGAAAACCCGGGTTCGACTTCCAACATGGGTACAATGTGTGAAGCCCATTTCTGCTGTCCCCCGCTATAATATTGCTGGAATATTGCTAAAAGCGGCGTGAAACCAAAACTCACTCACTCACATGTAAGTTCATATTTTAGAGTCGTGGAATTGAATGGTAAAGCCATCACATATACCAATAATGTCATCCCACCTCTACAACCAAAGACAGTCACATCCGGGTCAGTGACAATCCCTCCTCGTTCCTTCGGCTTCATCGTGGTACCAAACGCTGACCTCGCCGCCTGCAAGTCACAGAGCCAGGGACCAGTCATTGGCTGAAACAACAGTTTGATCTTGTAATTGTTGAAGGTTGTGCAGTATAAATACAACAGCTATATTCGTAAATTTCATCTTGTCTCGGGATTTCCTGGCCTGCGTCGTCAGGCACACTGCAGCCGCTTACGTTGACGTAAATTAACGCGCGATTCTTGTTCATGACATCGCGCCGGACAGTCGGACGTTAACCAGAAATTTGCGTCGGAGTATACCTTTTAGTGAGTTTCAGTTTCAAAGAAAAGACACAGGGGTGGGGGTAGGGGGGAATGCAAATGTCAAAGGTAATCGATATTAACTTCATCAAAGCAACAAAACCGTTCTGTGGTTCTTCAGTGGTCAGCAATAAATGCTTGTCGTATGAGGCGACTGACGGGATCGGGCGACCGTTTTGATGCATGTCATCGTGTCCAGACTGCTTAGGTCCATGCTCATGATGTCAATCACTTGTCAGGTCCAGACTGGACATGATCTGAGTGCGGCGTTATTAATCAACAATGGAACAAATCAGTAGAGAAGGATACTAGAGCATAATGACAGCTCGAGACATCAGTTCCTTTAGAACCTGGGGCGGTATTCTAAAAAAGTCTTAGATTTTCCTTAAGTTTTGTGTTAAGGTTTTAAAAATTGACTTAGATAAGTCAGAAACTAAAGTTCGTTTTCATAAACTGACTTCAAAAACTTAGCTTAGTCCTCAAAAGGGTGACCTCTTGGACGGTAAATTCTTCTACTGGCATATCTGGCAGCCATTTTTGTCAACTGACTTAAAAGTTACATAGAGTTAAGCCTAGCTAAAAGCAGGCTTAGGATTTAAGTCGAAAATTACACAAACATAAATCCAATGCTTTTTGTGAATATGACTAAGAAAAAACATAAGTCTTAAGTCAAAACTTAAGTTTTTATTTGGAACTTAAGTCATCTTTAGACTTAAGTCCTTTTAAGAATACCGCCCCTGGACATAGTTTTTATCGGGACATGAAGGTGCGGTGGGGTTGTCTCGTGGTTACAGCGTTCACTCGTCACGCCGAAAACCCGGGTTCGATTCCCGCATGGGTACAGTGTGTGAAGCCCATTTCTGGTGTCCCCCGCCCTGATATTGCTGGAGTATTGCTAAAAGCGGCGTAAAAACATACTCACTCACTCATTCGGGACAAGACTCGTGTGTTGAGCCCATCCCCAGGCCATGCTGCCCTGTATTATTGTCTATGTCTTGACAATATAAACAACACGTATCTACCAAGACAGCAAATCAATACTATTACCTAAGGATAACAATCCCTAGAACCTCACCAGTGTATGTTCACAAAACTAGTCCATGCAGATAAACATTCAAGATTTTCTCCTTATATATAGCATGTTTGTCTCGCTTTTTGGCTACAATTATCCAAACACGGTCCTTTCATATTGACAGCCGAAGGGTACAAATTAAGAACTCTCGGTGCCATTGGGTGTGTTTACAGCTAATGGAAAGGAAAACGGTATCAGATCAGACTTTTGAAATGTTTAAAGAGTCTGTGATATGAATGGAAGTGTATGAGGATCTGGGCGGTATATGTATGCCTGGAGCTTGATCGTGTATATTTAATATGTTGTATTGTTTCAAGGCAAAACATAAGTTGTAGAGAAACCATTTTTCAATAGACTCTTTTTAAAATTTGGGTTGGTTGGTATATTATGTGTTGAAAACATTATTACCAATTTACGCATGCGTGTTTGTGTGATACTAAAGTGGATAAATGTTTTGTAGTGAGTGAGTGAGGCTAGTTTTACGCCGCACTCAGCAATATTACAGCTATATGGCGGCGGTCTGTAAATAATCGAGTCTGGACCAGACAATCCAGTGATCAACAACATGAGCATCGATCATGCATGTCATTAAAGTGCAACCATATATGGTCTGATGACTAATAACATGTGATAGTACGGGGTGATGTACTGACCAGTGGCTAGTCATCATGGTTGCACATCGCCAGCAGAACGTGTCTTAAAGTCCTCAAGTCTCCATGATAAAAATGTGTTGTTTGCAGTGGTAACCTCACCATAACATTCATCGATTTATCAAGGTTATAATTTCAAGTCCTCTGGTTTTAAAATAAACTAGTGCTCAAAAGAAACTTTACACCGCAAAATAAAATTCATAAGAATTCACAAAAATAAACATGAAGTGACAAAACCATACAGAGCCGGATGCCCTTGTCACATCTAGTGTCATCTCGAAGTGATGCCCTTGTCACATCTAGTGTCATCTCTAAGTGATAGTGATTCAAACACATACTCATGATGTAATCAGAGTCGTACAACTGACTTATTATGAAAATTATTCATTGATAATATTACGAATTTTGGCGCTTTACTTGCAGGTATAAATACATTGTAAATGTTTCAGAAATATTTTCCTCTCACAAGGTGACATGGTATCACCGACGTATAACATCATTCTATGCAATTCTATCTAATGTATATCTGCACAGTATGTCTTCAACACACAACAGACCCGTGAAGATCCGGGTAAGAATTGATCTACAGCAACCCATGCTGGTCGTAAGAGGCGACTAACGGGATCGAGTTGTCAGGCTCGCTGGCTTGGTTGACGCATATGCCACATATCCCAATTGCGCAGATCGATGCTCATGATGTTGATCACTGGATTGTCTGGTCCAGACTCGATTATTTACAGACCGCCGCCATATAGCTGGAATACTGCTGAGTGCGGCGTAAAACCAAACTCACTCACTCACTACGACAACACAGAAGAGGAAGTACAGCTATACTGAAAGAAACGCTACTGTTGAACTCTCATGCTTCAACAATTACTACTCCAGCTATATTCTACCACTCACTACCCACTCAGACACTCGGGTCATATTTAATGTGCCCGCACTTAACATACTGAACATTTTCTTTCAGCACAAACCTTTCATGACATATTCCTGCGATAAAGTAGCTAAGAGGTACGATAATGCCTACTTGAGTTGTGTTAAGTATTCGTCATTCACATGGTTGAGTACGTACGGGCAATCAAACACTTATGTCAGCACTCAAACACTTTGTCAGGGCTAACGTTGGCAGTATCATTTATTATGCTGTATGATCATCCTACATCTTTTGATCATACATACTTGTATGATTTTGACGCTGTGAGAATGTAGTTCACTACATGTAACTATGGCAACGCTTGATGTAATACGCTCTGCATAAAATCAGTAGACACCTGTTGATACACCAGGTAGGATAACAAGATGAAAGAGTTCATACATAAAAGGAATTGCCTGAAATTCTAACGATTCTGGAAACAAACTAGGAATGTAAAAGAAATCAAGGTGAATGCGTGAACAATGAACGTACATGTACCTCAGTGAACCAAACTACTGACTCAAAGACATTTTGGAAGAATATGAAGGACATGCAGAATACGAAAAGTAACCATAATCCCAGAGATTAAAAAACAATGGATTTGATATTCTGAAGATATATTTAATCAATCAACAACTGAAGAAGATTCTGAGCTGAAAACTAAACAATAGAAAGCAAGAAAATCTCCACGACATCATGGTATCACAAAACATGAAATCGTGCCGATATTAATGCTCTGAAAAACACCTGACTGGGATCGATGATCGACAGTTGACAATATAATTCTTTTAAAAGCTATCATGTAACGATATCTACATAGGTCTGGTCCTAAGTTGGATATAACTTTTGATTCTGTTGGTCTTTTTTATCTGTGGAAAGTATTTGAAAAGCAGTGTCAGATAACCCGAGTGTAAAAGTAGCCATATGGTAATGTTAATGTGTCAGAAATATTAACCTTTCGTCAAACCAATTCGTTGTAATCTAGGTGTCAGACAAGGTTCCGTTTTAAGCACCCTACTATATGTTTACACACAATGGAACACTAGCAATTATCTGGAGCACAGTTACTACATACTGAAATGAAAACAATAAGGTCCTGTATCCTGTATAGTACTGAAAACTGAATTTGAACATTCAAGGGATTCAAGCAGAATGATTCAATTCATGTACTGGCAACAATTCATACACTTATTATCGATATTTTGCATTGTACGCAACACGATGTCCGTTTCCGCGGACATTAATAATAGTTTCTTTGAATGTGGGTTGAAGTTTGTTCTTTCTGCCACGGGGAGCGGTGGTAGCCTTGAGGGCAAAGCGTTCGCTCGTCACGCCTAATGCCTGTATTCGAATCCCCACATGTGTACAACGTGTGAAACCGTTTCTGGGATTGCTGGAATTGCTAAAAGCGGCGTGAAACCATACTCACTCACTCATACACTCATTCTGTGCCACGGTTTTTCCTTGCCCCCTTCAAACTAATACACAGACACATTTCAGCTTTGAGATTATTCCACTGTTATCATTGTCACCACAGCAACATCCTGCGAGAAATCCGTGTCAGTTTTGGTCCATTGTTACCTATGAAGCAGCAAACGACATAGGCACCATCGTTGGTTAAGTAGACTGAATATCATCGTGCGTTGAGTGTTGTTTTACGCCGCTCTTAGCGACCATCGACTCATATCACAGTGGTCTCACAAACAACGCATGGTGTAAAATGCCAAGCGAATGGTGAGCATCACATTAGCTCCCTTTAAATGATAAAGTTTCTAACATAATCCGTCCGTGTTCAACATCTCCGCTGTGAGTATTGATCCCATGAGATAAAATGCGGGACAGGCACTCGATCTCGAGCTTCCACTGTAACATGGAAGTGTTTGGACTAGGAGTCGTGCTGATGTTGACAAACTGGATGTCTGTGGATGACCACCTTGGTCCAGCTACTATTGTCAACGACGTTGCCGACTGCCTTGTCCACTGCTACCAGAACGTCACGTGTTCGGGAGTGTTTTATGACGATGTTGGAAAACTGTGTTACTCGTCTCTAAAAGTCCATAGTACCGCAAACCGACTTGTCTCTGATGCTGGCGTCAAACATTATGGCTTTACGGCAGGTAGGTAATGTCCAGTTACCATTGAATCATTTAACTTTTGCACTTCTTCGTGTACATGAACAAATATATCTTATTAAGGAGACATAAACGGCAAGTAAAAGAAAAGAGGAAACAATTTCTTAAATATTCATATTGTTAGCATTTACCTGTCTACTTGCATAGATTATCATTTTGGTTTTACGCTCCTGTGTGTACCTGAACAAAGACTGCATACTAAGTAAGCATACTGTAGGTATTTATGTGCAATTATCAATGAATCATTTTGGTTTTACGCTTCTGTGTGTGTATGTAGCATAACGGATTTACTGTAGGTATTTTATGTGCAATTATCAATGAATCATTTTGGTTTGACGCTTCTGTGTTTACCTGAACAAAGACTTCATACTAAGTAAGCATAATGTAGCATAACGGCTTTACTGTAGGTATTTTATGTCCAATTATCAATGAATCATGTTGGTTTTACACTTTGTGTACATGAACAGGTATATCACATTAGGTGGGTATTATGTAAGAGCACAAAACTAGAATTAACGACGTGCTGCGATGGTCAGACATCATGGCAGGTATGATGTATCCAGTGATGAGTAAAAGACTTCGATTGGTTTTAAGATTCTTCGCTTAACTGAACAAATGTATCGGAATGTAGGCATAACGTGACAAACCGAAACATGAGTCTCATTAACGAACTCAGACAATGACCTACTTATCAGCCGATCCGAATTTTCTCGTTTGAAAGTGAAAAGAGACACTACAAACAACTATGGTTACACGACATTCCAATTCCTTGTTTCATAAGACAATAGTATTTACAATGAATTTTATTTACAAACATTAAAAAAAATCATATTTCTATATTTTATGGCGAGGTTTAGGCAGCATGACGTTAACTGAGGCACCTGCTATGTGTTTTTTGGCGCTTATCAAGTATATTTTTGTAACATACAATGTGATTGATATAATATCAAGGCCGTACTAGCCCGCCAAACGTTTCTAGTGGCAGAGCCTCGTTTTGAGATTTCCACGATTTCCAGATTTTCGTCTGTCACAACACGCTGGTCGACGTGTTTACAAGGATTAGAAGGAGCGTAGTGTTGCAATATACAAGTGATTAGATGTATCAAACAATACTGATTAATATTAAATTATATGCAGTTGAATGAGTTGGTCTCAAAATTCTGGACTGGTTATTGTACTTAGTTGCGCAATAGGACGGAACCCAATCAGCAGGAAACGTTGTGTAATCAATGTTTCGACTGAAGAGAAAACCCAAAGTTGAAAGAAATCACAGTCGTTAAAACTTTGTAGAAAACCTGGCCTGGCATCCTAAGAAAAGGCGTCTTTATGAGAGCGGTTCTTTGAGATGAGGCACTTTATGTTCAATATGGTATCTTTTTGCTGTTGTTGTTGCTGTTGTTTGTTATCGCTATTTTGCTCCTTCTACTCTCTGAGTGACGGTACACATATGATGTTTTCAGGGCTGACAAAGGGTGTCTTCTCGTTTTAAAATGTTATCTGCCCTCCGTCTCAGAATGTTGAGATCTAATTGATTGATATTCGTAAAATATTAAAAATACCATGTATCTAGCTTAGGAGGGCAAAACGTTCTGAGTTAGAGTAGAAATACCCCATGTAGAAAACAGGCTGCACGTTGATTTCTAAGCCAAACATATATCCCTTCTACTGGCTTCTACCCAGTTTCGAAACAAAAGGTTGCACGTCCTGAAACGGGCAGGACTGGTCATTTTCGACTCAATCCAACAAGCGGTCTCTGTCAATTTGCTTCATTGTTTTTGGAATGGCAGATTAAAACAGTTCGTCAAGCGGTTCCAATTTGTCCCAGGCAACTCATGCTCAGGCCCAGAGAGCTGCCTGATTTCGTGTCGTTGGCTGGTTGTCAGTCACTGGTCTGCCCAGGCGCCATTATTTTCAGGAAGTCTTCATTTAGTGGCGTTCGGCGTGAAACTCCACACAAACAACATTCACGTCTCGGGTCGCAGAGTGCGTGAATAAAAGTTTGAATCAAGGAAACGAAAATTGTGTTCGCCCTTCCCTACCCAACCAGGTTATGAAGAAAACCAGTTCACAAGAAACAAACATATTAATTTGACTGCCCTGAAGACTACCACGGCCTTCAACTCGTCCAACCTGAATGAATGGCAACCGCGGTTTAACCATCTGCTCTTCAAAGACCTACACGCGTATAATATCATAAACCAATTTTTAGATGAACAATTGACTAGGCTTTGCATGTGTTTATGATGGAAGTCACCTTTTACAATTTCTATCATCACAGTTTGATTTATCCCTAAACACATCCTTATGATAAGGCTCGAATCATACGGTGAATTATTCAACGTTTGGCAGATATTTCTGATGGATGTGAAAAGGGTGTCTTTCATCTTTTATATGGTAAGAATCTGTGAATGTTGAAACTTATCTCAGTTTAGGTATTGCCCCATATTTAAGAGATTGTTTAACAAAATTTAGATGCGTTAAATTTAAACTTAGTTCTGAGACCGGTAGATATAACAATGTCCCTTATTATTCAAGATTCTGTCCTTTTTGCTACAAAAATAATCTTAATTTAGTTGAAGATGAAATACATGTTTTACTTTATTGTAAAGTCTACTTAGATATAAGGAATAAGTTTCTGGGTAAATATTTGAAACATCCTATTTCACAACAGTTTTATAAACATAATGACTTCAACAAACATAAATGTTATAAATAATTTGTGCCTATTTTTATATAATGTTGGGAAAATAAGAGATTCTGATGTTTTTATGCAAAACCAGGGATAATCTACAACGTTATATAGTCTCCCTGGTAAAACGCATGTAACTTCTTATCATATTTATGAAAGCATTTTGGGCCAGTGGCCTATTACTGAATATATGTCTGTCTGTCTGTCTGTCCGAATCTGTGAAGGTCCGGGTTAGAATTGGTTTTCAGTAACCCATGTTTGTCGTAAGAGGCGACTAACGGGATCGGGTGGTCAGGCTCGCTGGCTTGGTTGACACATGTCATCGGTTCCCAATTGCGCAGATCGATGCTCATGCTGTTGATCACTGGATTGTCTGGTCCTGACTCGACTATTTACATACCGCCGCCATATAGCTGGAGTATTGATGAGTGCGGCGTAAAGCTAAACTCACTCACTTATATGAAGAGAAACAGAGATGGGTGATAATGAAAGGAAGCTATGTACAACCTATTCAAAATTACGTCAGTCGCAAAATCGCATCTATACACCGATGTACAGCTAGGAAGGTTCATGATCCTTTTTGATCAAATTTAAATGACAGCAGTTCCCCTTCCGTATATATTTTCAGGAGCGTGTCCGTATTCTAAAGGCTACACATATTTTAGAGGGGCCCAAATCTGCATGAAGAGAATAATCCCAGATAAGGCTACCCATGATGGCGCTGGAGACAAGTGCCAGGAGGATGGAGGGAGGCTGGTTCATCCACAGAGCCCCATCCACCAAGTTGTCATGTACAGCTCGTACTTTGGTAAGTCCTTTATATGTATAACATGGCATTTAATCGTCCAAACAAGAAGGACGACGAGATAAGTCCCATATGCAATACCCCATGTCATCGTATCCCAATTGCGTAGAGCGATTGATGTGGTTGATCACTGGATTGTCTGGTCCAAACTCGATTATTTACATACCGCCACTACATAGAATAGAATAGAATACTAATTTTTTGCCTTTTCAGGAATTTGTGTTACATCAACAGAGCTACTGACACATCAGAGAGAAACAAATGCATAACATATTTACATAAATTCATGAATTTAAATATCTTCACATTTGTTTAAGAGAGATATGGTACTTGGAATAAAGGATGTACGGGCTCTCTTAGTTTTCACAATTGGAACTTTGTAGCGGCGGCCTGAAGGGAGGAGGCTGTATTCCGAATTTAAGTAGTGAGTTGGGTGAGATATAGATGACAGCTTGATTCACGATTTGCAGCTCATATATTGATGATAAACATTCAAATCTGACCCGTGCGATTCTACTTGCAGTGTTAACAAGTTTGTCTGTTTTACATTTGAGATGAACTGAGAGAGCCGTACCAACAATGGAAGGAAAATGTTAAACTACTCTGAATAGTTGCTACATATAATGATGACATCACAGATGGGTTAACATTAAAAGATCTCAGTTTACGCATGATATGAAGACGTTGCTGACACTTGTAAAGAGCTTCAGCGTTAGAGGTCCAGTTCAGCTTAGAGTCAGTGAAGGTCAGAAGCTCCTAGGGGGTGTTTTACTTTATGATATGTAGGCGTTCTTGATGTAACCATAACACAAGTCTTGTCTGTCCGCATACAACATGTTACAGATTTCAGGGTACATCCATTTAAATCTCCAAGTATGAATTGCGGCGCATCAGGACAAATCAGCTCTAGGGATTGAACATGATTATGAATAACATCAGCTGCTTGTTTGTTATTGGCACTGGGTGGTATGTAGACACTCACAGCAAAGATCTGACCGAGTGAGTGAGTTTAGTTTTGCGCCTCTTAGCAATATTCCAGCAATATCACAGCGGATGACATCATAAACGGGCTTCACACATTGCACCCATGTGGGGAATCGAACCCGGGTCTTCGGCGTGACGAGCGAACGCTTTAACCACTAGGCTACGTCACTGCCCCAGACCTGACCGAAAACAAACAAACAATGAAAATGTCATCATGTGTTTCTTCGGATATTTAGGACTCAACATTTAACCCAAGTTTGCGTTTGTTTCCCACAGGGTGTTTCTGGATTGGTGGATACAGGGACGTGAGTAACGACACCTACTGGTGGTCAGATGGAAGCGCCATTACTTATCTCCCTTGGCTGCCCACCTATCCACGTTCCTCGACTACCTTGGTGAAGCTGGCAGCATGCGAGGACGGCTGGAAGACCGTGAGCTCCACCCACGAGCTGAGGTACATGTGTGAAATACCCTTTCACACACACGTGTGCCCACAGTAAAGACCCTTGTCTGACCTACTGCGCTGATAGACCCATGAAGATCAGGGATACGAACTGATCTTCAGTAACCCATGCTTGTCGTAAGAGGCGACTAACGGGATTGGGTGGTCAAGCTCACTGACTTGCTTGACACATGTCATCGTATCCCAATTGCGTTGATTTATGCTCATGTTATTGATCACTGGATTGACTGGTCCAGTCTCGATTATGTACAAACCGCCGCCATATAGCTGGAATATTGCTTGAGTGCGGTGTAAAACTAAACTCACTTACTTACTACTGCACTAATAAGTACTCATGAACCGTGATTGATGATGTCAACCAGTTGATTCTGCAGTTTTTAACAACCAACAAAATTTGTGCATAGACTCAAAGTGAAAACGTTTACTCTGCAATGAACGAAAACATTTTATGTTCGTCATCAACTCAACCCGTGAAGATCCGGGTTAGATCTGATCATCTCCAGCCCAGTGGTCTGGTTCGCTGACATGGTTGACACATGTCATGGTATCCCAATTGCGTAGACCCGTGAAGTTCCGGGATAGAAGTGTCCTCAGCAACCCATGCTTGTAAGAAGCGACTAACGGGATCGGGTGGTCAGGCTCGCTGAATTGGTTGACACATGTGCTCGTGCTCTTGGTGCTGATCACTATATTGTCTGATCCAGTCTCGATTATTTACAGACCGACACCATATAGCCGGAATGTTGCTGAGTGTGGTGTTTAACAACAAACAAAGATGCGAGTGACGCGATCGGGTGGTCAGATTTGATGACTTAGCCGATGCACACCATCGTATCGCAGTTGCGTGATCGATTCTCATGATATCAATCACAAGATTATCTGGTCCAGACTGGATTATTTTCAGACCGCCTCCATATAGGTGGAATAATGCTTAATGCGGCAAGAAACAAACAATTTGTGTCGTGACTTGGATCGGACTGGCTTCATGGTAACCATATAATATATTTCCTGCAGCAACGAATATTTGCGATTTTACGGCCGCTTCTACACTACGTTATGGAGCGGCGACCATTATTAGAATTCCTTGCTGAAAGCAGTCGCCATTGTCAAAATTCAAGCAGTAGTATTTCAATTCCACGTTGTGGAGCAAATTAGAATTCCTTGCTGAAAGCAGTCGCCATTGTCAAAATTGTAGTATTTCAATTCACTACGTTGTGGAGCGGCGACCATTATTAGAATTCCTTGCTGAAAGCAGTCGCCATTGTCAAAATTCAAGCTATAAATGTAGTATTTCAATTCACTACGTTGTGGAGCGGCGACCATTATTAGAATTCCTTGCTGAAAGCAGTCGCCATTGTCAAAATTCAAGCTATAAATGTAGTATTTCAATTCACTACGTTGTGGAGCGGTGACCATTATTAGAATTCCTTGCTGAAAGCAGTCGCCATTGTCAAAATTCAAGCTATATATGTAGTATTTCAATTCTGGGCCATAATGGCAAAACGTAGGTATCACTTATAAAACAGCTTTTTTTCTCTTTTGTCCGACACATCGGTAGGAAATATGTATGATGAAATAGACCCGAACAATTCTGAGGATTTGGGGGTATAATTGAATATGTTTTTATGGTTGAGCTAAAATATCAACTTAAAACGATACAGGCATTCACGTGAACTTTTCACAGTTGATTGAATTTAGGACACCAAACAAAGCAAATGTCTAACCTTATCTAAAGAGCAGTATCAGTTTAAACAAATAAAGTCTATTTCTATCAGTTTCTGCCGTTATTTATATAATATGTTTCATATATTACGCCAGTCGAAAGCTACTTTCGTTTCTATTCACGTCTATTCCATGTTCGTTTTAAAGTTAACGGGTCTTCTAAATGTTGCCATAAGGGCAAAGCTAATACCGATTAAAGAACCAATGTTTCGTTTTCACTTGAAACAGACTTTCAGAGGTATATCTCTTGGCTAGCCAGATTTATGCTGACTTGTAAAAACGTTCCCTTTGTATCATACAAAAATCGGCTTACCAGTAAATAAACTATATGTGGAAAGCATGTGGTTTACCCAAATCAATTTCATTTGATCTATTACACAAAATGCCGTTTTCTTTGAACATTGTAGACATTTTTGTGCAGATTTCACAGATGAATGCAGATCTAAGCTTGTCCAGAACAGCTGTATTGCGAGATGACATGGTCACACCTTATGACCCTGTATTGAAATAGTGTGTATATACATTAAAACACAGGTGTGACAGACTTCGAAATGTCGAAAGTACTGTTACTTCTTTAAGTGACATTTACAAACTGGTATGATAAAGAGTAACAATTGTTATGGATAGACAACTTCTTTGTTCCAACAGATGCAGACATCACTTGCTTTATAACGGGGTTAGCATCTACACCGAAACGTCTCATCCATTGCTATACAGAAGTTGTCTATCCATAAAAGTGTTTCCTTACTGTTGTCTGGAAGTAAAGAGTTGGTTCCTGCATTTTTATTGTTTAGTCATCATTATGTATTATGTATCGAACCTCTGATAGCTCGAAGCATTTATGTTGATCCCAACTTCGCCACAACAGTGTTTGACGGTTGTTCAGAAATCTCTATGTAAGATGTCTACGCCAAGGTGAGAGCACCCTGCCCTACAAGTGACAAGGTGTCTCGTTTATGTCTTATGCATTGCATTTGGTCATTTGGGTGGGGTAAAGGAACAAGTATGCACTGGATGTAAATAATGGTAACTTCTGGAATAGTGAATGAGTGAGTTTAGTTTTACGCCGCACTCAGCAACATTCATGCTGTATGGCGGCGGTCTGTAAATAATCGAGCCTAGACCAGACAATCCTGTGATCAACAGCATGAGCATCGATCTACGCAATTGGGATACGATGACATGTGTCAACCAAGTCAGTGAGTATGACCACCCGATCCCGTTAGTCGCCTCTTACGACAAGCATGGGTTACTGAAGATCAGTTCTAAACCGGATCTTCACGGGTCACTTCTGCAATAGAAAGGGGCGCTTTGTCCACACACAGACGGTAATAATAAGTCAAGAAAGGAGCAAACCCTGGTCTTCTGGATGTCGTGAACGCTTGTCCGTCACGCCAAATACCATTAGGTCGAATCCTGCAGCCTTTGAAACGTATTACTTCTTTTTTGTACCCGTGAAGATCCGGGTTAGAATTGGTTTTCAGTAACCTATGCTTGTTGTAAGAGGTGACTACGCTGACTTGGTATCGTCATTGTATATTAATTGCGTACATCGATGCTCATGCTGTTGATCACTGGTTTGTCTGGTTCAGACTCGGCCATTTACAGACAGCCGCCATGTAGCTGGAATATTGCCAAGTGCGGCGTTAAACAACAAACAAACAGTCAATCATGTAGTAAGAAACGCCCGAAGCGACCCAGTCCTACGAAAAAAGAAAACCTGTTGGTAGTTTGGTAAATCTTTTGGGACGGAGATGGTCATCCAAACGGGCAGAAAATATTTACAATAACAAGAACACACAACAAGGATGACAAAAGCTTGTAAACGATATTTAATCACAATAAAAACATTTATTTTGGTGGGAATACATTGTCCTGGAACTGCCCCGTATAGTTTCCAGGCGGTAGGTAGTTGGCGACAACGTATATCTTCCCGTCGTGTCCCTTAGCGATACCGACACCCAGTTCCTTGCTGCCTTTCCATACCATCTGTGTGAAGTGACCTGAAATAGGCAACCATTCATTTCATGGAGCTGGGCCTACATTGCAGAGCAAATGTCGGAACATCATTATGTCGCCATATCTGTTGAGTGAAGAAGGTTTTACGCCGCATTTAGTAACAGAAATGAGCTTCACACATTGTACCCATGTGGGGAATCGAACCCAGATCTTCGGCGTGACGAGTGAACACTTTAACCACTAGTCTACCCCACCGTCCCCGTGACCTCTGTTTAACCGAGCTGGATTTGAGAACACTATTTCAGCTATACTCACACGCATAAGAAACGCAACTTTTTATCCAAATAGGAAACAAACTCGGAACCCTAAATTGATATGCGTTTTTGGCATATAGTGAAGCCTGATGGAGTTATCAATTAGTTTTGTTGCGGTTTGGAATGTCCGAGTAAAAACACATGAAAAGAAGGAATCACCAAACGCACCACACCAATGAACATGTGGGTATCATGCACACATTTTCGTGAAATCAAACACGCACGAATTGTCACCACCATTAGTGGGTATAAGTCTGTGCACACAAAATTGGGCCTATCACTCCCTGTTCACCAATACCATGCTTAACTCAAATTGAGAGAAACCAAGCTATCGGACGTTCGGAAGCTGGAGAGTCTGTCCAAGATGTTGCTTATCATTTCAGCGTAGACATAACCACAATTTACTGTCTCCAGCATCGATACAACGCAACACAGACCACAGATGACCTTCCTCGGAGCGGTCATCCTTGGGTCACCATCCCTCGACAAGATCGGCACATTACCCGTCAACACCAGCGAGACACGTTTTTCGAAAACTTAATGACGTCATCAGTCTTTGCAGCTAAGGAAATGCCTTCAATCAAATTTGTGTCTATCTGACCCTGGTGGTATTTCTGGTCGTTAATGTTGAAAGTTAATAATAATAATAATGTGTCCATTTATAGAGCGCCATACTCCACACTAGGTATGCTCATAGCGCTAACAATCAAGGCACAGCACATTATTACCCCGGGATAACCCAAGCTGCCTGTTAGGCGCTAGAAGGTTATAGTCATATGACTTTTTCCACCGGGTACCCATTATCCTGCTGGGTGAACAGAGACAATTTTGAACAAACTCACTTGCCTAAGGTGAGACCACATGTGTTCACATGTGCTTCGTTGTGGGGCAGGACTCAAGTCCTAGAAACTCTCAGGAGTCAAGCTGCCAAACACGGTCACTCTTCGAGCTCGACGCTGCTTAACTTCACCGATTTGTGACCTGAGCTTTGAGCACAGGACCACGCGCCGCCACATGTACACTTTATGCTCGACTTGCGTTGCTCTTGCGTGCGGTTTATGTAATCCCGAAGTGATTCATCTGTTTCACATTTACCACTATGGGGAAACCACTGGCTCGGTACGGCACTGACAACCTCAGTACAATAATTGGGGTGGACCCGAGACTCGAACCTTCAGTGATATCGTGCACATCCATGATTCTTACCCATTCAGAATCATCGATGGAAAACTCGACCCAACCTTGGGCCGTGGGGGTAGCCTAGTGGTTAAAGCGTTCGCTCGTCACGCCGAAGACCCAGGATCGATTCCCAACATGGGTACAATGTGTGAAGGCCATTTCTGGTGTGACCTGCCGTGATATTGCTGGAATATTGCTTAAAGCGGCGTAAACCTAAACTCACTCACTCTCACTGGTCAAGCAGACACGAGCCTCACAATTACTGGGGACTCATTACTTATTATTGTCGGTTTACAATGACGAACAAAATTTCAGTCTGTTCCATGTAAGGATCAGTCACCAACCTATGATAGTCAGAAGATGCATGTCAGTGGAACGAGAAATAAATCTCGGGCACTTAAAAAGCTTGGTAGATTGCATGACATTGTACCACGACAGCAGAGAGCGTTGTGCTTAATATTAATCACTGGTTTATCTGCTCCAGACTTCGTTATGTGAACACTGCTAACACTCAAACGTACCCGTTCCATTTGAGTAGCCAGCTTTGTTGTAGTCGTATTTGCTGATTTCACTGTACCACATATCACATGCTTCTTTCCCTGTGAATGGAATTAAATAATGAGCAGATCAGAGTGACTGAATAGATTTAAATTGGTTGGTTGGTTGGTTGGTTGGTTGGTTGTTTAACGCCGCACTCAGCAATATTCCAGCTATATGGCGGCGGTCTGTAAATAATCGAGTCTGGACCAGACAATCCAGTGATCAACAGCATGAGCATCAGTCAACGCAATTGGGAACCGATGACATGTGTCAACCAAGTCAGCGAGCCTGACCACCCGATCACGTTAGTCGCCTCTTACGACAAGCATGGGTTACTGAAGACTAATTACCCGGATCTTCACGGGTAGAATTAGATTTAAACCCATGAAGAACCGGCTTAGAATGAAAATAATATTGATCTTCGGCAACTCTTGTGTGTCACTGCATGAGACTAACAGGGTCAGGGTCGGTGGCTTGGTAGATCAACGTCAACGTTTCCAATTAACGTTGATCGGTGCTCACGATATCAATCACCGGTGTGTCTGGTCCACATTCGATTATTTACCGACCGTCGTGATACAGGTGCTGTACTGCTAAGTGTAACCTTTTACAACAAATGGATTAGATTCGGTCGTGTTTGGAGCAGTATTCACTCAACCTTAAAGGGACGATCCAAAGTGACCAGGTGTTATGGACTGAACAACGCGGAACATGATTAAGGCAAATCTGGGAATTATGGTCTTAGCAGGGCCAGGGATAATAACTCCACACATTACACATATTGTATTCATAGTGGAGGTTCTAACATCATGTGGTTAATATAATATAGTGAAATCCAAGACATTATTCACCAAGACTTTATTCACCTGGGGCATGAACAGATTTCAGCGTTCTCACAAACAAGGTAACTGTTGAAGCATTAATTCTGTACAGTTCAACACCTAGGGTGCGTTGCAAGCCGGCAATCGCTCACAGCAAGCAAATGAATCACTTAACCCGGCCTTGCAACAGCTTGAAGTGTTTCTCACTCTTCCAAAATGGCGGAGCGATTATCGTTTGCTCGCCTGTCCCAATGAAGAACGTGTTAGAAGATCCTCGATGACGAGTGATGAATTTATGATTGTTGATAACTATGTTGAAGATGTAGAACAAACTGAGGATGCTAGGATGTAAGCTGTCTTTGCCAATTCCCCGCTAAACCAGTCAAACAATTCTTGTTCAGGAGTCGAATTCAAATTTCAAGCCGCCATTTTGGTTTGAGATCGAAGCGACCTCATCCAGCGATTGGTGCGATTGTAAGCGGCTGAAAGTTGTCAGACGAATCGCAAATCCAAGACCATTAGAGTGACGTCATCAATATGGCTCAATAAACGTCAAATACATTAATAATTACACTTTAAAGCCAACTGTGGGCGAATCATCTACACGTGCACACCTCTTAATTAAGTGACCCGTGAAGATCTGGATTAGAATTGATCTTCAGTAACCCATGCTTGTCACAAGAGGCGTCTAGCGGGATCGGGTAGTCAGGCTAGCTGGCTTGGGTGACACGTCATCGTATCCCTATTGCGTAGATCGATGCTCACGCTGTTGATCACTGAATTGTCTAGTCCAGACTCGATTAATTTATTTACAGACCGACGCCATATAGCTGGAATATTCCTGAGTGCGGCGTAAAATAACAAACAAACAAATCTTAAGTACAGTAAGAACCTTGGAGCTAAAAGCTCAGCGACCATTATGTTTTTGGGTTGTTTTATATTTTTGTAATCTTGTGGATAGCAAGATTTCAGAATAACTATTTTGCCTTTTGAACTCACCACTGAATGCCTCGCCTCCAGGTTTCCACGCCATGGCTATGTTTTCACCAATGTTTCACCGCTGAAGTCACAATTGCTATGTTCAAATTTGCCGGTAGTAGCTAGGTTGTCTGCCCATTTCTGCGCATGAGCAGTTAAGTCTGCGTTGTGTTTCAGTTCCTTCACGCCATGTTTAATTCGCACCAGGTTATGACACTGCAAGACTTCGTCGACGAAGGTACCCATTGCATGAATATATAGAATCTGAAAAACATGTTGTTGTTATGTAGATTATGTGTTAAAACACTGAACATGTCGTGTGTCGACGATTAAAAACAGGTACTCGAATACACTCCGGGCTTCAGTTAAACGCCGGATAGTGGGGATTGTTTGCACGAAAGTGTCATTATAATCTCCTTGATTAGAATAGCCGTGGTTTAATGGAGTGCCAAACAACTATACGTCCGGGCTTTTGATCGAGAATACAGTCATATATTATTAGTTACTCTATTTTATATTTGATCTCGATATTACCATTTCTCTTCAGAGTTTTTAATTCTCCTCAAGACTTCCTGATTATCTTTAAACAGTGTACATTCTCTGTTCAGATCATTGATTTGATTCAAATGACAAGGTGTGCTTACTTTGTAAATAATTAATTTCTAAATCTGAATCTGTTATATCTTCACATACATTGGAATGGTATTGAATTCTCATAATCCCTACCCCTATAAACCTTAAATTTCATGAAAAGCCCTGACACAACCGGAATCATTGGCGAAAGTTTAATCATATATAGGTTATTTTCGTTGTTTGTGGAACAAAGGGTAACTCAAAAATAACAAAACAAGTTATCATCATAAATTGGATTTTAATTAAATATTCAGGGCGTTTATCAAAACGTTACTACGTTGAAAACACTCTATACTGAAGACCACGACTATGATGCTCCTATCAAATGCTTCACCATAAAATAACCATTTCTTGTTCCATGTCTAGTTCCAATCAAACGCGGAAGTATATTTTCTTTTGCCTAGCAATTATCTCTTATGGTCTTTATTCTAGTATTAGAGTTGAAAAAAGTTCCTCCGTATATACCAGATATTATTAAATAAACCTACTTTTTGGAAAATGGTTTGACAGAAACCATAAAAAAACACTCACCTGTGTCTCCTCCGCTGTCACACCAACTCTCAGAATGACCTTGACAGTATTAACCTTATATACATGTCCGACTATGCTGGTGGAACGTATTGTGGCTTTAGAACTGACCAATATGCGCTAATCAATAACATTAGGCATTACCATAAATACATTCATTGGACAATATATACAGTGAGGTGGTATTACACTAATCCTTAAATACTAATCGTCTTTTATTAGTCTAAAACATGTCCATGTTATTGAGTGCAATATTATTGTCAACAGAATGTTACAGCATTATCGTAATTCACTGTTTGTTTGCGGAGAAGTATTTTCCCTATCTGTGTGTTTAATCCTTAGTGCATTTGGGCTGACTGGAAACGTGTGTGTGAGAACATGCGATCATGTTCAATTTATTGAGATGTTAGTTGTTTGTTTGTCTGTGTGCATGTTGTTTCACGCCGCACTCAAGCAATATTTCGGCCATACCGCGGCGGTCTGTATATAATCAAGTCTGGACCAGACAATCCAGTGATTAACAACATGAGCGTCGATCTACGCTATTGGGGATACGATGACATGTGTCAAACAAGTCAGCGAGCCTGACCACCCGATCCCGTTAGTCGCTACTGACGACAAGCATGGGTTGCTGAAGACCGATGCTGACCCGGATCTTCACGGGGCAGTTTTGATTGACTTACGACACTAGTTTCACATGGCGCCTTGTACAGATCTAGTTCTATGCGATTATTGACATCCAGGTGTTGATGAAATTTAAAAACTCGAGATAAGTTTCGCTCATGAGACTCGCTCGGTATCAAGTAGATATTTATATGTACACAACTGTTTTAATAAGTAGGGCCAAGGCTGAAACTGTTTCACGTCTTGCATTGCTCACATGGCTAATGCCGGGCTAATCCGTCAGCAGTGGTAGACTGAGTGTTGACATGGAGCGGTTGGGTGGTTGTTATGGTCCCGTCCCTTGGATGGCTAATGTCGCGTCCATGTGCCCCGGGTCGTGGCGTGTGCCGGTTACCTATAATGTATAAAACGTCAACTTCAGAGAGCAATAGTCAGTCTCAATCATCTGTCGAAACAGTTTCTTAATCACGATATGGCTGAAATACTGCCGATGTGACTTTAAATTTTAACTAACTCACTCACTGTCGAAACAGATTCCACTGATGTAAAAGTCGAAATAGCTTTGAACATTATATGAACGGATCAACTTAAGCCAGAGAGGACACCGGGTGTTCACAAAAGGACTGCTCCTGCTCCGCCACTTAAACAATTTGTCAAGTTGCCACCAGACAGTCCAGAGATAGTTACCATTAACCAGACAATCTCGAGAATGAAAATGTGAAAATGTGAACGCTCCTGTAAGTTGTAACAGTCATAATATAGAATATCACCGTGTAAGGGCCGACGGGGTAGCCTAGTGGTTAAAGCGTTCGGTCGTCACGCCGAAGACCCGGGTTCGATTCCCCACATTGGTACAATGGGTGAAGCCCATTTCTGGTGTCGTCCGTCGTGATATTGCTGGAATATTGCTAAAAGCCATTTAGAACCATACTCACTCGCTCAAGCACTCACTCGTGCATCTTAATGACTGTTTTTGTGACTGTTCTTACGTATTTGTTAGTATATTAGTTGTATCATAGAGTTCCAGAAAATGAGAGAATTAAGCCCCAAGTGATTCAAGTGAAAGTTTAGAATATATCCACACTCGTGAATAAAGAGCTTTATTACCCACGTGGTCAACGTATGGGTAGTTGCATATTAATCTCGTACGTCACACGAGTGTCGTATCGCGTTGACCTGTGTCGTAACGACTTGACCTGAAATTCTAACGATTTGATTGGATAACCGATGACCTCTCAATTAGGTCACATTCTGACGTAACTATTTTTTCATTCATAACAAACACGTGAATTCATTCATTCTACAACTTAAATGCATTGTGGGAATGTAAACATTGCGAACGTTGCCGTGTCGCTGTTTAATTGTGAGTCGAACTGAGACATTATATCTGTCGAAAAATATAAACGCAATGTTTCCACCAGTGATGTTAGCCGAATGAAGCAACTGGAAACCAAGAGACGAGGTGCAACGGAGTAGTTTACTGTAGGAGGCTGTACGAGGCGATGACAACTGACATGCATCGTGACGTCGGTTACCATGGC